GCTTTATAGAAGAGCACGTCAAATTATTGGTTTATACTTTATAACGCGCTAGCAGTTGAACCTCTTGCACTAGAGGCCAGGTTACAGTGATGACAACTTTTAACATGGATAACAGCTAGGGATGGCCATGGACCCCTCCCATCTTCATTTCCGTCGATGATGGATCGGTGATCTGTGGAGATTTTTTGACGGGTCAAAAATATTCTTTGTCCCATGCTACAGAGGATGATAGGTTGCTACAAGTATATAGATATTTTTATTAAATATTAATTATACAGAATGTAATTTTATAAAAATTTAACATAATTTAAATAAATATATATTATACATATAATTTAACAATGTTCATTTTCAAAAAAAAAAAAAACAATGTTCAGCTCTAATAAATATACGTTTCTGTACAGATAGCAATTAATTTATTAAATTGGGTTTGAAAAAGACAAAAAGAAATTTAACTAAGCAATTTAAATTAAATTAATTAAATTGAATAAAATTTTAATTAAAAATATATTTATAAAAATACATATAAAAATAAACATATATTTTTTTAATATATACAATTCTCTACTACTCCTCATGGGTGTAGAAAATTATAATTTCACTTAAAAAATATTCATTAAGTCTCTAACTTGCGGAAGCTCCACGGATATCGAAAAAAATTACCATATCTAAAGGACAGCTTTTAATAAGGATGACAGCGACCTGACCTCGGAAAGGGGTCCGTGAAAATTGGACACGGAGAGTTTAAGGTTTAAACACACTTCCAACTCCTCTAAAATTCCCATTACCTATTTTCAAAAAAACTCTTCTAAAATTAATTATCAGTAAGTATGGTATTATTTTTATATTTAATTCACGTAATTTTTAAAATTTTTTCAATACTAAATTTTCATGCTTTAACAGAGGGTTAAGGATTGAATAGAGCCTTAAAATTTTACTTAATTTACAGTTGAAACTCTAAAGTTTTATTATATTCAAATAAGGTCTCAAAATCATTAAAATTCTTAAATAAAGTCCCAATTAGATGGGAACTTTTAAGCTATAAAATCAGTCATCAACGCTGTTAACTCTAATTACTTAATCTTCAAAGTGGTCTATAACTTTTTTATTTTTTCTTTTAATGACTCTAAAATTTTCAATAACCTCTAAACATTTCTTAAACTTATTTGTTCTATAGATGTGATAATTTTATGGGATAATTAATTTTCATCCCATTCTCTCTTCTTTTTTTTTTTTAATTTTTTTCAAATCAAATATATTGTAATAATTAATTAATAATTTATTTTAGTTAATTAAAATTAATTTTTAGTTGTGGGTCCTAAAAATAGGTTTAACAAGTATTTTGAAGTTATTAAAAGATAAAATAGAAAAGCAAG